GATAGATGAGTTAAATGATAGATAAGATATAGATAGATAGATGATAGATAGATGATAGATAGATGATAGATAGAAGATAGATAGATAGATAGATAGATAGATAGATAGATAATAGATAGGAAGGATGGACTTCTGCTGATCCTTCATGGATTCACTGAGAAAACACAATTTTTGAAAAGCTTCCCTGATTCTTCAAGGCTTTCCTCATGGTTACTAGTTTTAAAAGAAAATATATAGAACATGGGGCACATACACTTATATGATTAAACTTTGCCTTGTATTTTCTAATAAAGTTCAAAAGCAATACCCCAAAAGATCAACTATTTCCAAATATCATAACTCACACAGCAAAACTGAAGAGTGCTTATAGGAATACAGAAATATACAGCACCCAACATGGGATAATTGATAGTATATGCCATTCAATAAAACAAAATACAATTTATAATGGAAAAGAAATTAACTCATTGAAATTGAGCCAGAAATAGCATAGATAATAGACTAATATATAACAGCAATAAACTAGGTATTATATTATAACCAATTTCCATATATTCAACAGGAAAGATTAAATAAGGGGATAAAAGATCAAATTTAATTTCTAAAGTTGAAAACAACAATGTTTTGATGAAAAATATGGTGTAATGGATGAGTTAGATTAGGCAGATGAATTATTGCATACATAAGAAATGGTCAGTCAAGTTGAAGATATACACAATTCTAAATGAAATACACAGTGAAAAATAACTAGGAAAATATGAATAAAGGGCTGGAGACATGGCTCAGCAGTTAAGAGCATTGGCTGCTTTTGCAGAGGAGCTGGGTGCAATTCCTAGTACCCACATGCCAGCTAACAATTGTCCATAACTCCAGTTCCAAAGGATCCAACACCCCTCTTCTGGCTTCTGTGGGCATTACATGACACAGATGTACTTGCCTGCATGCAGGCAATACACTCATACACATTAAATAAAAATTAAAAAAGAAAAAAATTACTAAAGTTCAATGAATTGAGAAAATGCCAAGATTTCAAACATATATGAAACTGAAGTTCTCAAAGGAGAGGAGCATAGAAAAAAAAATGAAGATAGGGTCGTTTAAATGTTAAAAACATTGTGAAAATAATAAATAAATAAAACCCCAATGACTCAAGTATAAGAATGACAAAAGAAAGCAAACCAAGATACATCATAATCAACACCAGTAATAAATAGAAAAATCTGGAAAGCAGAGAAAATTACACGTAATGTAGAAAAGAGAATAGAAATGGCCTATTTCTAGTGGAAACTATCAATGCGAGCCTGAAGACAGCAGACCATTATCTTTAAAGTGGTGAAAGAAAGAAAAAAAAAAAACTGTCAATCTAGAATTCCTAATTCAATGACAATCATCTTTCAAAAATGAAGCATTATACAAATATGCACACTCTGAAAGAATTTATCATCAGTGGACCCACAGAATAAGTAGAAGGAAATGGTAGCAGATGGCAAATCTAGATCCACACAAATGACTGAAAAACAAGGGAAATGGGATGCAGGAAAGGGTAAGACCTTTGCACTGTTACTTAAACATCTTTAAAAGATCACTGAATATGGGGCTGAAGAGATGGCTCAGCGGTTAAGAACACTAACTGTTCTTGCAGA